TATAAAGCTCATTTTTTTTTATATTTTCTTCGGAATAACATTAGAAATCACGTCATCCGTTGCCGGACACTTATTATAGTTGCAAACCCCTGCCAGACACCCCTTAACTTTAAAAAAAATAATTATACTTTCGTCATAGTATAAAAGCTGAATTTTATATGTTACTTGGGGACGTATAAAAAGATGTTACCTAAAAAGCCGGACAGTTTTAATGGTTTTTACATCTTGCCAGACACATTGAAAGTCTACAGCAGGTGTGAGTGCAAGGCAACTGTTCAAGCGGCTGCGAGTGAGATTGGGCGTTTAGTCTATTGCGATCGCTTAAGAAATCCAATGAAAAAGTAGTTTTATTACGTTTATTAGCATCTTACATGCAGTAAAAAAAACCATTGTTTTATTATTGCTAATTACAAAAAATATTATTACATGTAAAAATCATACATCATTGTTGTCGATATTTTCATCTTCGTCACTACTACTCCAATCCGTGGCTTGATTGCCATCAATGTCGCTTTCTCCATCAGTTTCCGAAAATAAGTAAGCAAATTTATACAATTATGAATAATTAAAAAATTATGTACAATAATTTGACATAATTACATACCTGATTAAGTTTTAATGAATCACTGACATAGCTTGGTAGTTAATCCCCTTCAAACTATTTAAAATGGTATTTATCATTTTCCAATACCCAGCCATTATTGTCTGGTTTGTATGTGGCTGGATTTTTCAGATGAGCATTGTTCCAAATGGTACATCTATAGTTTGCTCGCGGAAACTGCTGCAATAGCTCGCTTTTGCAAGGTGGTAGATTGCTAGCGTCAAAATTTCGCAACTTCTTTCGGTCAAAAGCTTAGTTTACATCAGAAATTGTATACAAGTCGATAAACATTTGACTTCGAGCGGCATCAACATCAATTACATTACCGGCATTGTATACATTGCATATAAATCTCTGAATAATATTATAAGTTTTGTTGTTCATCTGTATTTTCAATTAATTCCCTCGTACCGAAGTTCTTGAAAGTTTCCTGGTACTCTGGAAATTTTTTTAATGTTTTGTAAGGTTTTAATTTTCCTTTTTTGAAGAACGCATGATTAAAATCACATCCTTTGAGGGCATGATATTCAGGTAAGCTCTGACAAATTAACTGACCCTACTCTGCGTGTATTTTGGTTAGGTCCACATATCTTTTTTCCAGTACGCGTAAGCACCCAAGCAACCGAATCATTTTTAAGCTGCATGTTACCAAGCATTATAGCAGCAATATCAGTATCAGTACTTCTGATTACTATTTCTGCTGGATAGTTGATGTTACATGCGTGGTATACCATCTTTGTATCTGCTTCCTCATCTGCTGGGCATGACAACTCTTGAGACAACTTTGTTGGATTCATTAATAGTGAAATTTTCTGAAATTTATGTGTATATATTTGTTGCCAATAAATGGCACCACTTCATCAGTGGCCCAATGCGAAATAAAATAAATTAAAAGTTAAATAAAAGCTTGTTTTTAAAAAAGTTTTTTTAAATACTCTAAAAAGAAGAAAAATAAACTTTTCTTTTAAGACTTTATTTGCTATCAACTTATAAAGTTGTTACACAATTTATGATATAAAAGCTTGTCGCGAGATTTAAGTACTCGTATTTACTGAGTTTGAGAATTTTAAAAATTAAAATCATTCGGATGAAGCTATTTAATTTGCTTGTTTATCTACACAGGTAAATCTCGCGACAAGCTTTTATATCACAAATTGTGTAACGACTTTATAAATTGATAGTAAAAAAAGTTTTAAAAGAAAAGTGTATTTTGTTCTTTTTAAAGCATTTAAAAAAGTATTTTTTTACTTTTTAGTTATCGCTGGACAGAGGTTTCTCAGTCTGTTAATCTCATTCAACGCATCATTGTTGCAAGGTCGTTTGCCGCTTAATTTTGAACAGTCCAGCTAAGGGGTACTCAACCTTTTTTCCCGCCCAGGCCACATATATATGATAGATATTTTGCTCGGGTCGCAACAAGAGGATAATGGGTAGAGGGTATAAATACTGTTGTACAAAAGAACATAGGGCAAAACAAAATTAATTAAAATATTAAAACTTTTTTTTGCTTTTACAATAATACTATATTAAAAACGAAGAAAACATTTTTTTCAATTTTTATGTAAAATTTGAATAATCTACAAACGAAAAAATTTAGGTATTTTATGAAAAAAAAAGTTTTAGGCATTTTATTTTTTAAAATGATTGATTCTAAAAGAAAAAAGCCTGAACTTAGTGCAGAATATCGATTCAACAACATGAAAAAAAACATACGGAATGATTTAGAAATCATTTTCATGAAAACGAATCAATTTTGACTCATTTTAGAAAAAAATTGTAAAATATATAAAATATCATTATTTTTTAAAAACAATTATATCGCATCGTGGCGAAATAAGCGGTCTTTCCGATTAGGTAATTATTTTTTCTCATTTTGAAAGAAAGAATAAGATCATTTTGAAAAAGGTCGAAAAATCTGTCTCTCGGAAATTCTTTAAGCTCAATCCCATAAGCTTCTTGGCAGAATAAAAATCTAACAGGTGAAAAAGGTTTTCAATTAATATCTTTGTAGCTAATTGCAATATCGGAATATGCGTTGTCATCCAAACTAAATGTGTAACCAAATGTCAGCTCAATCGGTTGAAGATATCAGCTTCAAAATTTAGTTGCAAGATTCCACCCGAAAAAAATTACTTTAATTACTATCTACACTATTAAAATTCGAAGGTAAACAAACGTGTGCGACTATATGACTAGGTGTATCTTCTCAAAAATAGTAGGACGCAGGAACTCGCCGAAGGTACCAAAAGGTCGGGAATGATCCGAGGAGCCCGTTTTGACCATTTATATCCCGAAAGTGCAATTAGTTAAAAAGACATTAATTAAAGACTTTAAAACGCATAATTATTGACACTTTTTCTCGTCTGGCGGTGAAGTTCCAATTGTCCGTTCTTTTTTTTATCCCAGACATTTTTAAAACACGATTAAATTTTTTTACGATACTCAGACAAAAAATAATTACAGAATCGGAAAAATCATTTACTTCGCAACGATAGGGTATAATTTATTTTACAAAATAATTTTTTCTAAAAGGAGTCAAAATCGATACGTTTCTATCAAAATGATTTCTAAATCTTTCCGATTGCATTTTCTTTCACGTTAATGAAATGATATTCTACACTAATAAAAACCCATGTTTTTTTTTCTTAGAATCAGTCATTTAAAAGATAAAATGTCAAAACTTTTTTACGATTTTTCAAAAAAATAATCAAATTTTTTTAAAATACTTAATTTATTTATAAAAATAATCTCATGAAACTTTTTTCCGTGTGTAGAACGATGTAATCTGTACAAAGATTGAAAAAATTACGGTATAAAAATTATGTTTTTCGTTATTTTACATTTTTATGAGAAATATTGAAATATTATTTTTGTTAAATTTTTTGCTTAAAAATTATGTTCTTTGTAATCGACATATGCAGTTTGAAGGCATTAACTTAATTATGAATCCCGAAAAAAATATTTAAATTTTATCAAATAACACAATGCGAAATGGAATCTCTTCCTTTTATTTTAAAGATCTTTTATTTCTTTTTTTCCCGAAGATTTCGTGAATCCATCGCTTAGAGCGCTGGATTAGTAACTTTTGTACCCGGGTATGAAACATCATCGCTTGGTTTTTTGATTTTTTAAAAGACACTCAAAATCTCATTCGCGTATTTAATAGCTTCCCCAGCAATTTTGTAATTGGAAAGAAAATTTATTTCGTCACGATACAGTATTTTTTTTTCATTTTTTACAAATCGATACTTTACATATTTTAAGGTTTTTTTCTAAAATAAATCGATATCGCTGCGTTTATATAAAAATGATTTTTTAAAAACTCACTTTTAATCTCTTATAGTTCGTGATTTAAAAAATAAAATGTCGAAAGCTTTTTTTAGGAATTTTTTGTGTGCAATAGTTACTTTTTGTGCCACTAGATGGCTGCACGTGTCAAGCTGCTTAAAAATTGGCGAATGTTCACTTACTCGAGAGCTCTGATTGTGAGAGGGAAAAGGGATTTTCCATGACAATATGTTATGCATTTAAAAATGTTCATGCAACGCCGAGGGGAAATAAACTTGTCTGACAAAGAAAAGCGAAAAAAATTCCAAACAGGGAATTTTAAGTTATACACTCGGGGAAATCCCGTGCAACGCCGGGCTAAGTGGAGGAAGGGGAGGTGTGGAAATCATTTTGAAAAAGAGTGCTAGAAATGCTGATTTTGTGAAGGAAAAGGAAAATTTATAAAAGTAGAGAAAGCCCATGCCGGGCCATGCAGCTAGCCTTTTTAGCTAATTGCGATACCGGAATATAAATGGTTTAAACATGCATTGTCATCCAACCTAAACGTGTATACAAAATTTCATCTCAATCGGTTGAAGACATCAACTTCAAAATTGATTTGCAAGATTCCACCCGAACAGTTTACATTGCCAGTTAAATAAAAGTTTGTAAACTATAACATACTTTAAACGTGTACAGAGTGTAAGTATTGTACAATATCTCGTTGTACGAATCAAACGAATTTCAAAAATATTTTACACGAAAAAATAATTGGAGGAGCGGGTATCGATGCCTGTTCCTATAGCATGCGAAGCAAGCGCTCTACCATCTGAGCTACGTTTTCGGTCGACACCAGTGATATTGTAAAAATGCTCGTCTTAACGCCTGAACAGGATCGTTACAGTAAGTAGGTAAATTAAAAGTGTTATGGGAGAAACTAGAATCGAGCAAATAGATATCTTAGAATGTATCAAAGTAAATAGAAATAGCTTGATAGGTCTGCCTTTTTTAGTGTTCTTTCTAGAACAGTAAAAATATAACATACTTTGTAAGCATGCTGAGTGGAAGTATTGTAAAATATCCCGTTGTACAAATTAAGCGAATTTCAAAAATATTTTACACGAAAAAAAATTGGAGGCGCGGGTTATTGATCCCCGTACCTCTCACGTGCTAAGCGAGCGCTCCACCATCTGAGCTACACCTCCGATGCACACCTTTTTTATTATAAATATGCTCGCCTTAACACTTAAATAAGATCGTTACAGTAACCAGGTCGATAACGGAATATATATACAGTCAAAACATGCATTGTCATCCAAACTAAACGTGTTTACAAAATTTAAACTCAATCGGTTGAAGACATCTGCCTTCAATTTGAGTTGCAAGATTCCACCTGAACAAATTTCTATAATTAATATCTTCTTAACTAATTGCGATATCTGAATATATAAATGATCAAAACATGCATTGTCATCCAAACTAAACATGCATACAAAATTTCAGCTCAATCGTTCGAAAACATCAACTTCAAAATTTAGTTGCAAGATTCCACCTGAACAGTTTACATTGCAAGTTAAATAAAAGCTTGTGTGTGTGTAAAATATAATATACTTTGTACGTATACAGAGTGGAAGTATTGCACAATATCTCGTTGTACAAATCAAACGATTTTGAAAAAATTTTGCACTACATAGTAAAAATTGGAGGTGCGAAGTATCGATCCCTTACCTCTCGCATGCTATTTCTTTAGCCACTATCCAGTTGAAATAATTTATTTTTTTTTACGCGGGTTCAATTCCCAGAATACTAAAACTGAAATTATTACTGTGTTTAATAGCTTCTTCTTTTCTCGATTTTAATAAGTGTTTATTTTAGTAATTCAAAACTTATGTTTTACATCACAATTTATGAGCAAAAAAGCTATGTAGCATTTTTAAATTTAAAAAATTAATATTTGAACACCTATTCAAAAAAGTTTTTTTCCACATTCAAAGGGGCACCTCTTATCGAAGCAATTTCTTCAAATACCTCCTAACCCCTTCTCTAACACACATCCAACACAACCTTATCTCCACCACTATGCAGAACCCTCATAACCTTAAAATGAATTTTTCATATTAAATAAATTATTTTAATGTAAAATTATATGTCCATTTCGAACAGTTGAGTACATTTTATATAAGTGTTAATAAACTTAATCCATTCCTTAATGCTTATATTATTATGTAAAACTCAGTCCTCAAATTAAAAAAATAATAATATCTTTCCACCCTCTTATCTACCCCTCGCCCACTCCCATCTTATCTCCACCACTATGCAGAATCCCCCGTATCTACCCTGTCCACCCCATTCCCCGTTATCACCCCACAACCTTATCTCCACTACCACCCGGCAGAACCCCCATTTATATACTACGGCCCACCACCACCCGGCAGAACCCCCATTTATATACTACTTATTGTACCTAGGGCCATGTGTGAATTTTTTTAAAAAACCTTTTATTTAAAAGAATTTATTATTTTAAGTACTTATATGAACTCCTATTGGATGGTAGTTAGTATAATGATTGCATATTAGTTTCACATTTTTAAAGAGGCCAGTGCACATTGAAAAAAAGTGGCCCTAGGTACACAAGTCTCCCGTAAGCATTATTTTTGTTTCATTTTTTGTTTAAAAATTACCGTTGTTTGCAATCGATATGTAAAATTTGAGAGCATTAACTTAAAAATCATGCTCTTAAAAAATTCTTTTAAATATTTCATGAAAAGCTCTGTTTTGTGGCAAGGTTGTTCGATTCAACTATGACAATACGGGTGAAAGTTTTGCGCATGCGCGGTGTAGGTCACTCTTTTCGCTGTTTTTGGAAGGGAAATTTCGCTGCTCTCATCACTTACGTTATTTGATATTTATAGCAGTATTAAATTCATTACAGATAAATGTTTTAAAGATTGCAAGACAACTGATAGTTTTCTTCATTTTTAAAGAATGATTTATTGAAGAACAGTGGAATAAAAAAACCTTAAAAATTCTGAAATATATTTTTATCACATAGTATATTTTCTTTTTGAATTTTAAACAGTGAATGTAAATCCAGTCTTTTTACCTTTTTATTCTTATACATTTTTATTTCGCTACACTTCTGTATGATGCTGTTATTTTTTTCTTTTTTTTTTTACAAAACAACGTAACTTTGCATATAAATCAATTTATTTAAAAAAGGCTTATCGATTATTAAATCATATTTGAGAAAATTTCTTTGCATTTAAAAAAAATAATTACTGTAATTATATAAATATTTATATTATACTTCATAAATATAATTTTTAATAAATAATACTTTTTGTAAATTTTGTTGTACTAAACATTAAATGATATTTTACATAAAAATTATAGAAGTAATGAATATTTTAGTTTTGTATAGCATACTTTTTTTTGTCAGATACGTGTTTAAATAGTTTACTAAACACAGTGGAATGAAAAACGTTAAAATAAAAATAAAATATCAATGTTTTTATCAGATTATTTTTTTTCTTTTTGAATGTTTTTTCAGTATATATGTATATGTATGTATATATATGTGTATATGTATATATATGTATGTATATATATATGTACGTATATCTATGTATATAGGCTTTCCCCCATACTGTTTTTTATAACTTATATATATTTATGTTTAATCAAACATTCAAACGTTCAGAAAAAAGCAATCATTTCAATAGCTATCTGTAAATTTTTCTTTTATTTGTTACTTATAGAAATTTGATTTTAATAAACATATGTTTTTTAAAAGGATTATTTCATTACTAAATGAATTCTTTAATTAAAAAGTACATCTACTATTATTTTAGATCAAAATACATTTTAGACATTTTTAAGCTAACTATATGTAACGATTGATTGATTCATGAAAATCTTAAATCTATTTTATTATTTTAGATTATTTTATTATTTATTAGAAACTAACTGTTATTAAAAAAATGAAAGTTTTTTGTTTTACTCTTAGCATCAGAATCGTTTTCTTTTTATTGCTTTCACATTAATAATTTTTTAACTCTAACTCAATATTGTTTATTATAAATCATGCATCGAAATTTAATACTATATCTGATCTGTGAGGGGGAGCGAAAAATAGAACAATAATTTTACACTAAAAAAAACATGCGGGGCTATAGAAAGGGGGGAGGGACCTGTCTTAAATAAAAAAATAAGTGGAATGGAACAAATTTCGAAAAAGTCAAATTTTTACATAATTTTAGAAATCACTCACATTGTGTGCGTACAAACACACACACTGAAATGCTGGTGTCATGAGGGAAAGAGAAAGCCTGTGCAACGCCGGGCCATACAGCTAGTGTAAATATAGAAAAGGGTACTTGATTGTCTTTTGGTAAAGGAGCCGGGCAAGTGAAATAATCCTGTGGACGGAAATTATTTAAGTTTATCGAATGTAGCATAATATACTGTGAAATTTGGGCATAAAATATTGTTTTTGTGAAATTTTAAGTACCGTATTTTCCTGTATATAATCCGCGGATTATGTGTTAAAAAAGTTTCAAATTTCGTTGTGCGTATTATACGCCGCCGCGGATTATCTGAGAAAAAACATTCTCCATCAGAAAAGCCAACAATAAAGTTTTGAAAGAAATGCAGTTTATGTTTTATAAAATAAATAACAGATGGCGCCTTCATGACTCGGATGACGTATTTCAGCTATAACTAGTTTTTGTCAAATTACATTCAAAAACGAATTCGATTCCTCGGAAGGAAAAAAAAATAGTTATTAGTCGCTGGGGACATTTCCAATTTTCTCTCTTGACTAGAGCTATTAAGTTTTTCGTAAGTTTTCATCAAGTTGAAGCGAAAGTGTTAAGTTACACTACAAACTTAAAAGGCTACCAAAATCGGGAAGCTGCAAAGTTTTTCAACGTTGACGAATTGAATATTCGTTTGTGGAAAAAAAACAAGACAAACTTCGAAAATTGTGATTGACGTTAAAGTGCCGATCATTTTGGTAAACCTCACTGGCCAGAATTAGAGGAAGAAATAAATAAAAGGATTTTAAAAGAAAGAGACAGTGGGGAAGCAGTCTCAATCTAAATTTTTTTGCTGTTAACTTGCTAAATTAAAAAAAAAAAAAAAAAATTTTTTCCGCATGGAATGTTTTGTTTAACAACTCAAAACATAGATGGCAGTAGCAAAGAATTTTTTTGTTTTATTGAGATTATCGTAAAAAATATTATCATACATATTTGATAAGACATTTCGTAATAAATTTTTTTTCCTGTACAATTTCTTACTTCTATTTTCAATTATATTGTGTATTTTTTTGTCTTTATGACATTCATTATCGGCAGTTTATATTTTGGATTATTCGGCCTAAAAACTGCCGCGGATTATATACAGGAAAATACGGTAAGTATTTGCGTTCAAAATGCTAATGAATGTTTTGAAAGGTATAAACATTCATTAGCATAGAACAACAAAGAATTTCGAAAGAGGTATTGTTTATCCGAAAATTGGAAACTGTGATGTTTCGTTTAACTATATATTCTAGTTGTACTACGTTTTTTTCATAATCTCAATATTGATATTGATCGCTATTTTTATTTCCAGAGAAGTAAGAGAATTTAGACAAGTGTCAAATTCCAGAATCAAACCAGCATAAGGAAGAAAATCGGAGGCGTATGAAAACCTCAAGGTATCTGTGAGAAAAGATTTTAGAGAAAAGATGAAGTATAAATATGGAGTGTTTTAACAAAGTTTTCTATGTTAAACGAGGAAGGTTTTTAGGTGAAAATTAAAGATTGTAAAGAATTTAGGTTTTTTGACTTCAAACTACTATTTTCTCTCTCAGATAAAACAGTACATTATTAGCTATAGAAAAAAATTATTGGAAACATTCTGCACATAAAAATTTTCAATATGTTTTTATTGGACTGATGCTGACTCACAAACAGTTTTGTATAAATTCTCTCATGAGAAGCGTTTAGTCATGTGACTTTTGAAAGAAATATTTCGAATTTTAAAAGCCCTATAAGCTCTTGAGATATCCAATTGGAGAAAAGATTTCTAAAGCTTACATGATCTCACCTGAGATTTCCAATTTTATAAACTAAGGAGATGTCTACTTCTCTAAATAATATTTTAATACATCTGCCCAACAAAAAGATTCATGTTTGTCGAATATGCAGCAAGGCTTTTT